AAGTAATTTATATCTACATTCTAACAACTCCCTAAAGGCATTGAAATTTCTACTGCATATTAAATCCTTATTTGTATTAAATTATCACTAATGAACTCAGAGAAACTAATTCTAAGTAAATATTTAAAAATGAGAAATAAAAACAAAAAGATAAGTACTTTTTAAAAAATTATGAACACACATTTTGCTCTGTGGCCAGTTAATGTAATAGTCTGAAGTTTATATACTTGGATCAATCTTGATTTTACAATTTGTGTTGATGTACACTCACAGTGAGAATGATCGACAGTCAACTCAAGTACAGAGTGTTATTGTTATTGCTACATTATTCTCATCACAGTTTGGATCTTGATCAATTTCAAAGAGTCATTATTTAAGAAAGGCCCTACTGTATTTGCAGTTTACTTAACTGGAAGTGATGTCACTGAGGGCATGTTATATAAAAAATTGTTTTAATCAATAAAATATGCCTATTAATAAAAATTTTAGAGTAAAATCTACCAAGGCTCATAAAAAATAACCACTTAAGTTAAAATTTCAAAAATAATTAACCTGGTAGAGAAATCTACAGTGTGAATTGTAAATATCAGTCTATAGATCATCCTCAAGTTCTATTATAAACTGAACTTAGTGGAATATGGGCATTCAGCACTTTTCAAAATTTAACAAATTACTAGTATAATGCTTGCTTTCTTCGTATGTTATAGTGTCATCATTACAAATAGTAACATAAGTTTCAACTGTACAATGTCAGATAAACTGATTCTGTAAAACTGTGGCTTTTAGTATGACTTTTCAGTCTGAATAACCCATCATTAAGGCAAAATAGGCATGTCCACACAAAAACTCTAATATGAGCAACATATATTCACAGAAATTTAGATCTGCAAATACACGCAAATACACATGTACGCATCACATCCTCATGTACTAACTAAGTTTGAAAATGAAAGGTTTTTTTGAGTGTAACTTCTAGGCAAAGGTGGACACATTTCATCACTTCTAACCTCTTAAGATCTACAACAGGAAAAATGAATCACCGCAATGATTAAATAAATATGTAGAAAGTAATAAAGACAACCGCTTATTAAGACCATACAAAGTCTAATTTCCTCTAGTAGAATGTCTGTCTCTTTAGACCTGATCAAGCCCTATCCAGCCTGCACTAAACTGGAGGCAGCTGTTTTTGTTATTTTGTTATTATTCTTGTGACAGACTACTTATCCTGAACTATCTCAGAAGTGAAATTGGTATTGATGGAAAGCACCAAGGGGAAGCAGCATATGCAATACAACTTCTGCATATTTTAGTAAGGTTTTTAAAAGTGGTACAATGGTCAGTTTGTTTGCTGGAAGGTGGGTGCCAAGGATAAACAATGACCCATCTTTTTCTTTAGTACTTGTTAAATCTGCCAAAATCTGAAGAAATTCCCCTTTTTCCCCCTTATCACGTGTAAAAGATGTTTGCTTCAAGAGAACAAAATTGAAATTAATTCCCCAAACTCAAATACAAAGTAAACAATGAGTGCAAGAGGACTGAAATATTTCATCACTGCAAGATTTAAGTTACGTCTTATTGCATTTCCAAAATTCATTGAAAACATTTTGGAGAATCCTGAGCACAAAGTTCCGGCGCTTTGTTTTATAAATACCACAGAGGAACCAATGACTGGACTAAAGAAGCATTCAGCTACTTAAAGAACATTTGAAATGACATCCTGTACTTTGTAAAAGCTTCCAGTAAAAGGCTGCAGTTAATAGAAAGAAATCTACTAGCAGCTAACAACCAGAATGTGATTAAATGATTTAAAGGAAATGAATCCTCTATAAGGGATTATAAAGAGGGATCATATAACATGAATTTAAGTAATGGTCGTATTTCAGGTGGTAGTGTAGAATAACTGGTAAATTAATATGGGAATGAAACCAATGACATATTCAAGCCAAGGTGGGCCAGACACAAAATAAAGCAAAAGCTGGGATCAAATAGTTATCTATCTAGTGAATGCTAAATATTTTATCCAATATATTTGAAACTGAACTTTGAGGTTATTGTTCTGACCCTTTGTAAAATGCATAAATATAGCAGTGATAGTAGCAGAGTACAATCACAGAAAAAGATATGAAGCGCTTATGAATAATGTACGAATATATGAATACGAAAGAAAGTAAATGGAGAGAGTGTTCCCGAATGGGGCTTGGAACTGCTCTTACAGTAAGTGGATACCTGCAGGAAGACATATGCATTCTAGTTTGAAGTTTCAGTGAAAACACACACAAATGCTTATCTGTACCAATTCAAAATGTACAATCACTCTAACAATTACAGCTTTAGGAACAAATCATTATTACAATTTGGGCTTTATTCTTTTCTGAATTATGCATAATCCTTTATTTTAAATAATCTACGTAGTGAATTATCCTAGGCTGGTCCCCTGTACACAAATACAATATTCAGCAACTATGATCTCAAAAACAATCCAATAACTACCATCTCTTGAAACAAGAAAATGGCCTTTATATTTAGGAACAGGATTTTTAGTTTGAAGGCTGAAATATAGCTTCTTGATTAGTGCAATCAGAGAAGTCCAGATGGGATGAGGCTCAAGTATTTTGGCCTGGTTTTTTTAATCATGCAGGGGAATGCTAAAGAAAGAAATGGATGTGTGTCATCTTCCAAAGACCTTGCACTGCCCTTTTCACCATATTTGTGTAAGGTTTTATCTGAAAATTCTGCTGCTAAATTTTGAAGGTACAATTTTGATCTGTTTCCCAGGGGTTTATACCTTGAAACATCATACTCCTATTTCCACCCTTATTTTCCTGAAAGTTTAGATTTTATTTTGGGAACTGAGTTTTGTTGTTATGATCTTGAGGTGTTCTGATGGCCACAGTTTGGGTGCTGAAAATTGGATATGGAAGAGTTTACTATCTTTCTCACCAAATGTACTGTACAGGTAGTCCTCAACCTAATAACCATTCATTTAGTGGGCATTCAAAGTTAAAATGGCACTGAAAAAAGTGACATATGACTGTTTTTAATACTTACTCATACCCATGGTCATGCGAGCACAATCCGGATGCTTGGCAACTGGCCTGTATTTATGAAGGCACCAGTGTTCCTGGGTCATGTGATCATTTTTTGTGGCCTAATAACGAACAATGTCAATAGGGAAGCCAGATTCACTTAACAACCGTGTTACTAACTTAACAACTGCAGTGATTCACTTAACAACTGTTGCAAGCAAGGTCATAAACTGAGGCAAAACTCACTTAAGAGCTATCTTGCTTAGTAATGGAAGTTTTGGGCTCAGTTGTTGTCATAAGTCAAGAACTAGCTGCAAAGGCATTCCACAAATGAGTACTGTTCAATGAATACTTTTGTTTGCTGAGTCCGCACTTTAAACAAAATTGCTGTCTACCTTACTGAATTGCTACAACAAAATCAAAATGTTAATAATATTAATTTAAAAACTATGTAACTGATCTCTGCTCTAAAAATTAACCACGACTGCTAATACACTAAAAAAATAAATATACAACTGTCCTCAACAAAAGTAAAAAGAGATAAAAATGGTAAAATAATAAAATATCAGAAAAATACGGCATGCACCATTCAGTAAATCATAGTTAAACAAAAGATTTAAAAGATACTGTATTATAAGAGCCCAGTCTTTACAACAAAAGATCTATTGCATAACATGAACTACAAACGAAAAGACAGATTTACTGAGAAACTTGTTGCCAGTCAACTAAGATGAGTTGTTCTTTTGTTTTGCTTTGTTTTGCTTTGCTTTGCTTTCTGAACCTATTTCTAGTTGCAGGCTGTGCTGCATTCAGTTTGGGTTCTAAATCAAATCTCATTTTCCTTCTTCACACATCTCATAACTGGGAATAACATTTGTGCAGCTTCAGTGAGGCCTTCAATGAGACTCGGGATCTTTTCCACAATCTTCAAATTAAACCCTTGGGGGGTGCATAAGAAGGCCAATTACCTGCCATAGAAAAACCCTTACCTGACTAAATCTTGTAAATATCTTTGCAAGTACATTCAAAGATACAGAGCCAAACAAATGAAGCAATATAGATTGGGCCTTTGTTCCCTCTGCTGTTTAATACCCGAACTAAATGTTCCATATAGGAATAAGCAATAATAAGCAGAGATATGCCTGGGCCTAGTCCTTTTCTGATCTTTTGTCTATGAAATAGACAATAAACAAACACATATTTTTCTGGGATCACTGATGGAAGGGGACCCAGAGGGATGGAGATAGGTGTAGGAAATTTGGCTGTTGTTGATGTATCTGAGATGTGGAAGGCAGCAATAGTTGACAGTGATCTCCTCTCAAATCTACAGTAGAACACATTCAGATCATCTGCCAGTTGCTGATTCTCTTCAGTAAAGGAGAGAGATCTGCTGTAGCCAGTGACATTCTTCAGGCTTTCCCACACATTTGTTGGTTCATTTGCTGAGAACTGATTCCTCAGCTTTTCAGAGTAGCTTCTCTTTGCTGCCGATCTCTAGACATAGAATAGAATAGGAAGGGACCTCTGAAGTCTTCTAGTCCATCCCTTTGCTTGAGCAGGAAACTCTATACCATTTCAGACGAATTGTTGTCCAGTCTCTTTTTGAAAACCTCCAGTGATGGAGCACCCACAACTTCTGAAGGCAAGCTATTCCATTGGTTGATTGTTCTCACCATTAGGAAATTTCTCCTTAGTTCTAACTCCTTGGTTAGTTTCTTTTAATATCCCTTGTTAATATATTCCTGGTCTGATTGTATAGCACCCTGTCTTTATTCCTGTAGGCTTCCTCTTTGGCACAACATAGTTGCTTGAGCTTAGCTGTGAACCAAGGTTTATTATTACTGTATATGCACAAACTCTTGGTCAGAACACACATGTCCTCACAACAATTAACATATGATGTCACAGTAGCAGTGAGTTCATCCAAGTCTGCTAAAGCAGCTTCAAGGCAAACCTATAACTCCAACTTTACCTCCTCAGTCCAAGACTTCATTGTTTTAACCACAGGTTTTGCAGCTTTAAGTTTCTGTCTATAAACAGGTACAAGATGAACCAAACAATGACCAGTGACCCAAAGCTGCTCTTGGCAAAGATTGTTAAGCATATTTTAACATGAAGTAGCAGTGGTCTAAAGTGTTTTTGCCTCTAGTGAGGCAGCTGACATGCTGAGTATATTTGGGCAGCTAGTATATGGTAAGATATAATAGACTAATAGTAGATAATGTATGAGATATATATATATTGGTGGATGTATTTTAGAAGGGCTGTTTTCAAGAATATAAGCATCTTTTTTGAACTATTTTTTGCATTTGACTGGAGGAGTCATCCCAATATAAGTTGGTCATATATCTTTAACCATTTGTAGCAAGATAATATAAGTATCATTTTGCAAAGAGCACTATCTTAGTGTAAATTTTTCTCCATTATTAATCTGATTGAATAAAGAGTCTTATGTTCCTTGTTTGCATTTATGTATATGTCTTGTTAAGTATATCAATTTTCAACAAAAATACATCTCACACCTAAGCTGAATGTTTTAGCCAACATGGATAGTTAGTAGAAAAAAAAGCTATTTAAATTAATTTCTACACTATCAATCTTTCAAAAATCTCATACACAGACACACAAACAATTAAAAAATAAAACTTCTACCTTGCACTAATATGTTCAGCTTCACACTTGCAACAACAGTATACACAAAGAAATGAGAGGAAAATTCTTTCAACTCAGGAACCATAGAAAGATATAATTCAACAAGTACATCCACAATTCAGTTCATTCAAATACAGCCTAAGCAGTGTAACATTTAAGGAAATTAAAAAAGAATTTTTTAGACCTTGGCAAGTGGGATTACAGTTCATTACAATTGGTAACACCTGAGCATTTGTTTATTTCTCTCAGGATGTGAAAAATTGCAGAACAGAGACTAGTCTATTTATAGAACACAGAATAAAACGTAGAATGTAGGCTGGAGATTCTAAAGGAAAAGTGACAGGATATAATGTAGGAAATTTTTACCAAATTAACTCATTTTTAGCTATGAAGAGTATGCTATGGTAGAAATTCTAAAAGATACAGTGACACATGATGGCAGAAGTTATGAGGTATAAATATCCCTCTTTCTTTATGCAGACTAATTAGATCACATGCAGCTTAAGAAATATTATCCACCATATTTAATTTTGATCAGTGTGTGCATCTTTATTTCTTTTAAGATTTCCAGATAATAGCAGTCTTTGTTCATGTATTGATCACATGAAATATACTCCAGTAATTATTGGACCCAATGGAATATTAACAATATTCATTCTTGGCACTCAAAAATGAGACTGAATATGACAATATATTAATGCAAAAATTCTACATAATAAGGCTGTAGTCTGATAAACTGTAAACTGAAAGGTAAATAGGAATTTCATCAGAATCAGAATTTAATCAGAATATCACCAGGTACTGTGGCAGAGGAAATTGTTGCATATTTTAAAAATACATTTTAAATTAGCCTAGTTCATTTTTTCAGATTTCTAATGCATTATGAAATTAGTGAGATTTAGATGTGATTTATAAATGACAATTAGTCATTTATGTTATATAAGGTGTTACTTCTAAATGTTTTAACCTATTTTATCCACTTAACAATTATTTTTATTTATTTATTCCATTTTAGATTACGTACTTATTTATTTTAAACCTGGAAAAATATTCCACTAGCATTCCACCAAGCATTCCACTGTGGTGGCACAATGGTTAGAATGCAGTACTGCCAGCTACATCTCCTGACTGCCAGCTGCCAGCAATTGGACAGTTTGATTCTCACCAGTTCAAGGTTGACTCAGCCTTCCATCCTTCCAAGGTCAGTAAAATGAGGACCCAGATTGTTGAGGGCAATATGCTGGCTCTGTAAACCACTTAGAGAGGGCTGTAAAGCACTATGAAGTGGTATAATAAGTCTAAGTGCTATTGCTACTTTAATTTATCAGATAAATTCTATCAAGAATGTTGTTTGTCAAATTATATTTTTTTGCCCTGCTGGATTATTCTTCTTTCAGCTTTGACCTTGGAAAGTCCATATTTAGAATTGGATAGTAAGTACTAAAATACAAATTTTACCTGATAATCTATCAGTAACATTGATATTTATTCTTAAATTTAACAAAATAATATAACAATGATAGGAATCTGTGTATCCAAGCTTCCCTGCTATGCAATCTAAATTCTTTGAGCAAATAAATAACTCTTAGCAGACAAAAAAGTAGAGTATCACTGAGAAAGATTAGATTAAAAATCTTTGTAACAAGTTTCAAAGATAAAATATCTGCTTCAGAAATGATCTTCGGAAAATGTATATGCAATTTCTGCTGGTTCAGCTATTGGTTAATTATGAATTATTTTAGACATGTTTCTTAGTTCCCATTATTAGTTTCACTCTATATCAAGAACATGCCATTTTTGCAACCAACTCCAACTTCAGTGAGAAGATATTAAACTGCTCTTACCTCAGAAAATCTTCGTATATCTTGGGTCAAAGTTCCTACTCTTTTCCATTTATAATGCTTGAGCAACTTTAAAATTGCCGGGTTCACAGCATTATCGGATGGCACTGTCCGGAAGAAATAAGGATATTTTTTCTTATCTGCTAACTCTGGTGTTGTTGCTGCAAACGAGAGCTGTAAGATAAAACAATTGTTGTAGCTGTTTAAAAAAATCAGTATTATCTATTAATCTAAAATTTACTGTGTTATATTAAATTAAGAAAAGAACAGGGATATGTCTATATCCTTCTGTTACAAAATAAATAGTAATGTTTTTTTAAAAAACAAGTTTTATTACAATTTTTCTTTCATCATATATATTTTATGAACAGAATGTTGACCGGGTCACATCTTATCCATCTTATACATAATCATAATTTTAATATATTCTAATCTTCCCATTTTTTCAATATTCATCTCTTTTATATAATCCTTTATCACAAATTAATCATTTTTTGCCATATTATTTCATTTATCATATTATTTATATTATTTCAGTTTCTGCCATATTATTCTCTTTCCATAATTCTTTTATCATTTTCAATTTTTACACATAAATAACATCACTTTACGCCCTATATTTCAACTCTCTTGCAATTACACCAGTTATTTACCATATTTCTTCATTTCCAGAAGTATCTCTCAAATTCCCCCTTCCCAATCATTAGCATTTTGAATTTTCATCCTAATTTGCATTGTTATCAAAATTAGTAATGTTATTTAATTACTTATTTTCACATTCCCATCTACTAAATTTTATCTTAAACAAGTTCTATTCATTCATTTTTACAAAATAATTGCTGTCATGACTTTGTTATTCCAGTCTCAACATTATTCTCTTTACATTCTTCTTTATCATTTCATGTTCAATTCGTTCACATAAACATCACAGTGCGCCCTATAATTCTTCTCCCTTACAATAACATTTTAAATTCCACTCTAATTTAAAAGATTATCAAAATTTACTAATATTATTATATTAACTACTTTCCCATTCCCATTTAATGATCTACCTTGTTATATATATTTACTAATATTTACCCCATTATCATTTCTCCCTTCTGATAGCATTATTCACCTTTATCCATCATCTCTCAATCTTTTTAGAATCCCATTTTTAATGATTTTTTGCTCAGCCTTTTATCTCGCTCTGACTTTTCAATTCTCTTTTTTTTATTTTTATATGTTACATTTTATCTTCTGAATTCTTTTTATCTCTTTTTGTTGTACTGTTTGAGCCTCCATCACCAAGATTTTCACTTGTCTCTTCCAAATATTTCCCTTTTTCTCTTTTAACTGTTTCTTTTTTAGGGGGGATTTTACCCCTTTCCTCTCTACTCTTTCCACATTACAAAAAATTTCTGTGATATTGTCTAACTGATTCTTATTTTTTAATACTTTCTCTTCTATGTTCTTAACTTCTTGCATCTCATTTAAATTTCCCTCTTCCAAATCCTCTTCACTTTCCTTTTCTATATATTTCAACGAATTTTCTGTTTCTTTGTTGCTTATTAAAGATTCACACATATTTCTGAACATCAGAAGTAGCTCTTCATACATCTGCAACTCCACTTTGTAACAATTAAAAAAAATATTAAAACCTCCCCAATTATATCTCTTCACAATTAGCCAAAGTTTAAAGTCTATTTAATTTTCTTGTTTCTCCTCTTGTCTTCCTTTCTTCAATTATTCCTCTTTTCTTCAGAAGCAAAATGTTCTCCTAAATTATTAATAATCCAACTCCAGAAATAATCAAATCCAATTAAAAGGCTGTCTTCCAAGAGAGAAGGGAAAAAAAACAAAAAACAAATGCAAAACACATTCACTCCTTAAATGTTCTCACAGTGTCCAAATTATCTTCTTTTATATGGCCAAGGTCGGGGCTTCCAGCTGCTACTTCTTTTTTGCCTATTTAAGTAAAGTATTACAGTACTTTTTCTTTCCTCCAGTAGATGGCATTCTCCATTTCTATTCCATACAAAACAGTCTTTTAAAACCAGCTAATTGTCAAAGTATCCTGGAGTTTTAAAGTACTCATACAAAATGCTATTTTCTCCCGAAAATCACTTATTTTTCCTTTTAAGATGTTTTGCTTTCCCCAATTTTCCAAGTATAGGACTTCTTCTTGGGCTTTTTGTATTAGAGTCCCCACTGTTTTTTTCCCCCGTGTGTTTTTTTCCCCAAGTACCAGATAGCCGCTAATCCAAGCTCAGGAATTTCTTTTAAAACTCCTATTTCAATTTTTCCTTTAAGTATAAATTGGCAATGATCTCACCCAATTCCAGCACTCCGTCCAAACACCGCTCCAGCTCAATTCTTGGGTCCGGTTGTCCCAGCTTCAAGGTGGCTACCAAAAGATAGCCGCCGACCCTGCTGCCAATCGGGAGAGCTGTTTCTGTTCCAGTGAGGAAATTGCCAGTTCCTCGTGGTCCACGAAACACCTCTCCTTTCTTCACCGTCCCTACAAGACAGCTATGGCCCGAAAGCCTCCCGGCAGCAGTTTGTCCAGCTGGATTTCGCAGGGCTCATCAGAGCCTGCTATTTTCCAGTCCATTCCCACCATGACGTCAAACCAGAAGTCAAAATAAATAGTAATGTTGATGGGATACTAAAATGAATGCACATCACTAAAAATAATTTCATAATCAGAAAAACTGGTGATTGACAACTGGTAATAGTTAGCAGTCTATAAAGCAATCTGCATTGATGGATTGACATTAATGGAGAAGGAATGAGTGATAAAATGCCAACTTTATTTCCAATAAATTGTTAATATTTTGAGGTTGGAAATACAAATTCTCTGAATTGCAAGTAGTATGTTATTTTTATATCCCATGAATAGGATACATTATTAGCAGGTACATACATAGACAAACCTAACCCATAATGGGTTATATTATCAGCTTTAGAATTTAGCCAGAATTGATTATATTTGTTATTTGGCTGAAACCATTCACTTCCTGGTGGGGTCCCCAGTGGGATGAGGGCTGGTTTTGGTGTGAAGTATCTTGAATGGTATAATCCTGGAATCCAGTTATGGCCTGATGATCTATCAAGAAATGGTCAGATGCAAGAAGTGAGGATACTTTCAAAAGTGTCCTATTAGAGACTCTACAGGTGATGTTCATACAGTCCTATCAGACATGTAGGGCTATTATCTAAATAGGTAACAATCAGTTTCCACCACAATCATAGCTACCAATCAGTCACACAACAGCAAGATCACTAATACAGAGATGCAAACATGCACCTACATTACATAGATGAGACATAGGAGGCTCAGTACCAGGACCCATCACATCCTTAGAAAAGGTCCACAAAGGTCCAAACAACAACTAGTTTGCATGATGTGAACTGGGCCAGCTAAACATATGACCTTCCCCAAGGGAAATTAAGATGGTTATCAAGATCATGATGACTATCTTTTTGCTTCTGCTATATGTAATATTAGATAATAAGCTCAATTAATTTCATATTAATGTTTTGCAAAATATATTTTGACACTTTACTGAGAATAAAATTCTGCAGAAAGTTGTGATACTATTCTTTCTGCAGAATTTTATTCTCAGTAAAGTGTCAAATTTGAAAATTTCCCTTACCCACTGATTGCACTGTTAATTCAAGACAGTTATATTCAATGTATATCCATTTCCTTAATCCTAGAAGACTCCTTTGAGCCATTCTGACCATGCAACATTTCAGAGTCTTATGAAGCAAAAGAAATGACAGGAGGAAAGAAAGCTATGCAAACAGATCACCCAAACCTGTTCCCACCATCAAATAGGAAAAATCAGTGACTTCATTCATTCACTTAAATCCTTCAACCAAGATATAATATGATCAATGTGCAACCTATAGATGGATTTTATTTTTTTTACTTCAACAATCTTTACCAAACTCTAGAGTATTTGGTTGGCTATTTATTTATTTTGCATTAAGTTCACACCCTAAATTTATTTTGGTGAAGTCAAGGCAGCATACAAAATCCATACATTTAAACATTTTTCCCTTAACCTGTTATTTAAATTCACACTAATTTTTTATACTTTAAAGTCCACTGCTGACATCGTAACACTAATAAAAGCCTCTTATGAATATACCATCAATGTTATAATAGTGGTTTTTTACACATGGGATAAATAGAAATGGGTAATTATTTAAGATGAATAAATTGTAATTTTATTTAAAATTAAATGTCATTAATAACCTATGATATTTCAATGTTATATCCTTAACAAACTTAATGAGCTTAAGCAAAGCATATATGCTAATTTTCTTTCACGGTAGTTAGCTGTTTTTAGTTTTGTAAAAGAAATCAAAATCCAGAGGGAGAACTTTTAAGTATTTTCTTTTGTTTTGGAAGGATATCCGATTGAACACAGTTCCATTCTTATTCAAATTGACCTTTGACATTTTGAGTCCTATTTTCTTCCTCAGACTTACTACAGCATTCTGTGAAACTTTCATCAGGACATGGGGGAAAAAAATAAAATAAAAGATAGCAGTTGTCTTTCCTGGAGGCCTCCTCTTTCTTGCTGCCAAAAACTAGCGTGAAACTGCTTCTAAACTCCTATCAAAAGTCCTTGCAGCTATTCTCTTGCTTTTTCCTAGAATCTTCTTAGCATACTCTCTACTTACAATAAGACCACACATTTCCAACTAACCCAGTTTGAATGTTTATTCTCTATTTATCCATTCATCTGGAAGTTCAAGAGCCTATCAATATAAGTCAGAGACAACAAACAGTTGTAAATGACCTTTCAAATGTTTTATTTTTTTTATCTTTAAAATATAAACTTAATAGTTTAATTGTAACCCATTAATGTACAGTATTACATTTCTTTTGGAAATAAAAGTAACTACTGTACTTTAATAGCAATTGGCAGGCTAAATGTCTATGGAGATTCTCAATCATCCAGGACATGGTTGTCCCAAAGGTGCTTTTTTCCAAAAGGTAACTGGACTTTCTTAGGGTATTTTAACTTTGAAAATGTTTCACTTCTCATCCAAGAAGCTTCTTCAGTTCAGAACTTCCAGTCTTGCAATCCATTTTTCCCTTCTCCATCCATAGCAAACACTTATCTACCTGCTGGCAAGGGAAAGGAAGGGAAGGGAAAGAATGGGAAGGAGGAACAGGGAGGAAAGAAGACCACTATCACCCCGTGCACCAGTGGTGGGTTGCCCCCGGTTTGGACCAGTTTGCAAGAACCGATAGTAAAACCGGTAGGAGGCTCCGTCCACCGCCCCAGATGTCGTCATTGGCGTTCTGGCATGCGCAGAAGCAAGGCACATGCATGAGCAAAGCGAGCTCGCACGAACGATCCCATTGTGAACCGGTAGTAAAGATAAATAGAACCCACCCCTGCTGTGCACACTTCCCAATCCAGACAGGGAAGGAACTCCCATGTGCACCCCAGTGGTGTGTTTCTACCAGTTTGCCCCAGTTTGGGCGAACTGGTAGTGGCGATGGTGGGAGGCTCCACCCACCCGCCTGGACGTCATCACCCGCCTGGATGTTCTGTGCATGCACAGAAGGTTCTGCGTTATGTGCAGAAGCGCTGCATGCAAGTGAAGCAAGCGTGCACGTGCTCACAGTTCCGAACCGGTAGAGAAGGTAAGTGGAACCCACTACTGGTGCACCCTCAACCTGTGTCAACCACCCCATAAGCCCCTCCACATACCCTACTTGACACCATGCCACCCCCTGCATGCCTTTCCCAACCCATGCAGCACCTCTTGCACACTTCCATACCGCCTTCTCAACCTGTGCCCATTTTAGTTTTTGTTCTAAACTAAAAAAAAAGACACAAAACTACAAATGAAACAGTATTAACTTCCAACTTAAGTGTAGAAATAAAGAGATTTTTTTGAATTACTATAAATGCAACATATATATATATATACACACATGCACACACACACACACACACACACACTAGCGTTCAAGAATTTTTTTTTGTTTATTTTTCACAACACAATTTTTAAAGAATTAATTTGACAGCAGTGATTTGGCTTCTTATTCAAGATACTGGAAATGGATGTTGCTTACCTGAACATCCTTTCTGGGCACGCTGCTGAAGAATCCAAGGCAAGCTGAGGGATATTACCCACGCTCTTGGATTCTTCCAAGCAGCGCGCCAGAGAATACGAATTATTTGTCAGTTAGGCAAATAGGAAAGCAACTGAGGGAATGTCAAATTATCAAAAATATGAACTACATTTTTCTGAGAGAAATAAAAAAATAACAAAAGATAAAAAAGATTTTTTAAAAATATGTCATTTTTAATACAAGAAAAAATGACCTCACATTTATGTATGGGTATGGGATCTATTTTGTCATGATATTTGATTATAGTGGAATCCATAGCTGAGATTAAACTATACTTATTTCAAGTATTATAGCATATTGTCACTATAGTGTACATGTAAACATCTTCGTAGTCATCACTGGTTTTTTTATTTCAGAAGTTTTATTTTATTTTATTTTTATTTTATAAAGTAGTTCAAAAGAAATAAGTAAAGTTTTATATTATTCTGGTTTTTTTTCTGAAAGAAATGTAAAATAAAAAAGGAATTCCTTAAAAATAATTTTTGGTTTAGTTTTAGGGCAACCAAACTAAATTATTAAATATCCATGTTTTTAATAAAGATTACAGTGGTTAAAATTTATAATGGTTGTAGACACTGATGTGCTGCAAAATTGTATTTAATATTTCTTCAATAATCAAATGTATAACTTTGTGAAAAAAGTAATTTAATTAACCACTGCTAATCATTTATTAATATGACAACAATTTAAGAACTTAATCAAGGAGGCTTTTAAAATTAATCTCTTTTACTGAAAACCAAAGATATTTTTTTTCAGATTATTACATATGATTTTAATTCATATTTAGGATGAAAATGTCCAACTAAAAGAATTATGTTTTAACCCTTTGTGTTAGCAATTTCTGATTAAATATATTCATAGCAGTTAAAAGGCTATGGAAAAATAGGCTCCAAGAAAGAGAAATACATTTAAATTACCAGTTTATTTTCTACATCTTCTCATCTCATTCATATTAATGGGTTTATACTAAGGCATGTCTGTCAAAGAATTATTTGCTAACTAGCTCACCCTTTTCACCCTAATATTGCAATGTCGTTTTTGCCCTGGAAATGAACCTTTTTTTCATCACTCAATAATATTATCATGTCATGTCATTCTGTAATATCTGGACCAGGCCATCAGTTAGATTAAAACAAGAAACAAAGCAAACGCCAGGAAATTGTTCAAAGAACCTACAAAGAACTGACAATCCATCAAGAGTTACTGAGAACAAATTGAGATGATGTTAAACTGACAGAGCGGGGAGAGTAGGAACTTCTGCTAAAGCTGAGAATAACCTGATGCAGCCTTCCTCACTTTTTGTGGCATGTTGCATCTGCCAAACCCAAAATATCTTTCAGATAATTATTAAAATTACATGTGGATGTGGGGCAGAGGAAAAAAAAAAAGGAAAGAAATATTTAAAATAGGAATAAAATTGTTGAAACCAGTGCTAGAGGGTTATATATTATCTTTGTGGGACATGGTTGGAATGTTGAGTATATTGTATGACCATTGTTCTAAAATGGCTACTATGGGATTGGGGGATTATTCATAAAATGGCTACTGTGGTAAGCACAGCTAGTCCAAATACATGCACATACCAGAATGCAAATTAGTAATAATGCTTCCTGCATCCTTCCTATGTTTTCTCTAGACTGAATGAAGATACATAAAGAGATGGAGACAACTTGGATTTCTTTGTCCAATCACTCTTTTGAACATGTCATGAGGCAAGTGTTCCCCTATTGCTTCATCCATAATCAGAATACTATCTAGGGTTTTTTTTAAAAAAAAAAATCTTTGGAACTATTGGCAGATGCAGTGGGAGGATGGAGGATGATAGAAACTCGATTAACTACTATCCTGGATTACCCAGTGTTATAATGTGTTCAATCAGGAGCACTGATTGGCCTTTTGCCAAGGTACTGCCAATAGAATGGTAATGGGGGCAGTGCTTTTATACCAAGATACATTATCTCAACTCAAGGATAAGAAAACAAACAATTACTGCAAATTCAAGGCAGTGCCTTATGATTTCCTGCCAATTTCAACTTGGATGAAATCCTGAGGACTGAATAATAGTATAGCTTTATAGTGTCCTGATCCAGGAAAAGCTGCAATTGCTACACCAGATATAACTGTGCAAAGTCTCACTGGAGCATAGCTTTCATATGCTGCTCATGCAGAAGCTATAAACTAAGGTGTCCTTCCAAACTGGGAGCCAACTCTTTTCAGGAGAAGATAACCTACCCCAATTTCAGAATACAATATTATAAAGCAATCACAGCTGAAGCCATGCAGGGGTATATTGCTAGGATGTAATTCTGAAAAGCTTTAGCTCTCATCATCTTTTGTTGTTGTTGTTGTTGTTAGCCATTCATTTTGATGAGTAACTTCTGGATATCCAATTCCAGTGTCTCCATTTTCAGGAGCTGGAAGGCTTTTTTCCTAGTTCCATGGCCAATTCAGCCAGACAATCTGGGATCTGTATCAGTTTATTTAGGGCTAATTTTTGTTTTTTAAAATGCCATATTGATCAACCTGGTACTCTTCTAAAGATGATGTGAATCAGGTCAAATCCCAAAACACAGCAAGATTCTGGGATATTGCTGTTGTGATAGAGAGCAATCTCACTATCAAATCTTAAAATTCCATCTGCTTCTCATCCCCTCATTTCAAGAAAATAATTAGAAAAAATGTGTCTAATTGAATTGATAAATAAATGCAGGATAAACAAAACTGCTGCATTATTTAATGATCACTCATTCCATGAGTGAAGTTACGGCAGTACTGAAGGAGGGAATTTATGACCATTCCTGAATTGGTACAGACATCTAGCATCCCGATGGTCATATGATTGTGATTTGGGTGCTTGGTAACCAGAATGCAATTACAACTGCACAGAGTTTCCCCTCCTCCCTCCTTATATAATTGCCATTTGCAACCTTCACTGCTGGCTTTCAACAAACAAAACCGATGAGGAAGCCAGCATAAGGTCATAAATGACAATCACATGACATCATGTTTAACAAACATGTGGCAAGGCACTTGGAACTGCCAAAACTCCCATTGTATGTCAGCATGGTCATTTGACATTATGCTTTACAACTATGTTGCTTAGCAACAGGCTTACAGGTCCTAATTACTGTAGTTAAGCAAGAATTACATGTACATCTCTCTGCTTTCAGGGTAGGAAAGTACATACATTTTTTTTTATCAATATGCCCAATTTTGCCATGAAGTCAACTAGAAATTGCAAAAGTCCTAACACCTGTCATTAAATGTCCTTCATGAAAAAAATGTTTTTTAAAATGACATTCAACTAAACAATGCTCAGAATTCTCTTACTGAAATAGAAACTTGAAAATGTTCATTTTGACCAGCTTTTGCTTGCTCAGCGTGATCCTGCGACTTCCATATATGTATGGCCGTGCAGAGTTTCAGTGCAGCACTTTAACAGAGATTCACATAAAACAGGACTGCAAAGTCATAAAGTCTTTCTCTACATCTAAAACATTCTACTGCTTCTTAATGCAGTCTACATTGCATTAAGTTTGAGACTTCTGTGCACAATGAAAGGCATCTTTTGTCTTCGGTTAGCTTCTCGAAATGTTGAAAAAGGCCTTGAGGAACAGCCTTGATGGGCTGGATTTACCTTGCTAAGGTAAATTGCAACAGCCTTACACACAACATATATCTCTCCAAGGAAAACAGGCTCAGCTAAAAGGTTTGGAAATGTCTTGCGTGCAATCTATCAGACTGCACAGACTCAAAGGTCTTAATTCTTCCCTGAACCAACTGCATTTTATGTCTCAAGTCCTGTTGTCACAATAATAGAAGGAAACATCCTTTTAAATCATGTTAAGTACAGGGCTCCATTTAAGATACAAACACCTTCTGCAGGTAAAATAAGAGGAAAGTTTAATTACTCTTAAATGCAATTTTTCTCTCACAGTTGTTCTTAACACTCACACTTAGTATAACACAAGGCTATCAGCTGATATCTTTATAGCTGAGCACTTGCAAGTGTAACAACAGCTGTGACAGTAACTGCTTTATAATCACAATTGGGCAGCCATGCCAGCTTCATACCTCTAATTTATTTTACAAGTATTTAGAATAGATACATGAAAATGAGTGATCAGTAAAGACTTGCAAAGTATTTTACATCACTAAATGGAAATGCTTTTTCTAAATACTGTATGTGATGGGTATTCAGTGATTTTTTTTTTTTGCAAATCAGAACACTCAGTTGGAAATAAACATTGGAGACTTTTGTACACAAGTAATATTATTATTGTGTAAGCACTGTATATGTAATATAATTCAAAATACTTTGCAGGAATGATAGAAGAAACTTGTTATAGCAGAAGTAACAAGTCAGACTTTTCCTCCATTTCACCTTTGAGCCAAGCAAAAGTCAAATGGCAAGGGGAAGGTACACTTGTCAGCTTTTGCTTATTATAAAGATGTTAAACAGAAACGGGAAACAAAATTGGGAATCCTAATGGATATAACCAAGGCCTAGATTATGAATTATAAATCTGTGAAGATGAACTGATGATGTAGAAAACTATATCACAATGTCAGAAATCAGAATACTTAGTTGGAGACTCCAGCTCCAATTAGTAACTTCTATTTCACTTGAGAGACACTCAGGGAACATCGTACACATTCTGCAATTTGTCCATGGGGAGGGAATATCATGGTACAAGTCTGCTCCTTATGGACTTGTGCTTGTGACATTATAGAGCATATATGAAAAAGCAGAATTTTTGTGCTGTGCTGTCACAATGCACCCTTCATCATTTTGGAATGATCTTGATAATGAAAGGACAGCTAGGCATGTTGTATTTTTATGTAGGAAACATATTAAGATACGCGGATATGAAAATGACAGCTCTACCCTATACTTTCTTGTAGAAAAGCTTTTAGCAAATGTAACTTTCACAATACCGCATGATTAAGTACATATACTATAATTTGTTATTCTATTCATGGAGCAAAAGGCTTGTCCTTTTTTAAATTAATTACTTCATATATAAACTGAAAAGAACAAGTATTTGCTATGCCTAAAAAAGAATCTTGAATTGTTTTCCAAATTATTAGGAGCACATGCATGATTGTTCAGACAATCCAAATGCTTTGCTTACAAAAGAAAGGCCTCATCTGGTGTCACTTCTCTGAGATCTAAGAAAGAAGGAAATATGGACATAGAAACAGATTCTGTGTCCTTATCTATCAAAATGCAAGAGAGAAAAAATGGTGTTCACAAACACTTGCATTCATTACCCTTCACAAAAGAAAACCAAGCGAACAACCATTAATATATCATATATCTGAAACCCCAACATAAGACACGGCAGGAACAGATGAAGTGGGAAACAACCTTGAGTCTCTAAGGAAGCATATCTGTTTATTTCCAAAGGTAGACAAGCAGTCTGCAGAAATTCCTGTACTATAGGTAAAACACAATAAAGTAATCAACTTGAACCTTTCAAATGTGATCTGAGTGCTTGTATGGACAAAAAGTTTCCTAAACATATTTTTCAATAATATTTATCTAGAAAAAGGCCACTGAAATTCAGTAATGTTGATACTCCAATAACTTAGACTCAAAGCATTAAGAAAAAGCTACAACCTGGAGGCAATATGCTATGCAGGCTATAATATTCCAGCGTTGACTAAACCAGAAACCAGAAGAGCAGCTGCCCGGTGCACATGCTCGTGCCGGGAAGATTATCTTCCAGTTTCCAGCGTGTGCATGCACACCAGGCAGCTGCTCTTCTGGTTTCTGGCACTCCCACGCACGAGACCACCTGCCCGGCGCACATGCACATGCCGGAAACCGGAAAATCATCTTCCTGGCACAAACATGCACACCAGGTGGCTGCTCTTCTGGTTTCCGGCACAACCATGCGCGAGAAGACCAGCTGGCTGGCGCACCAGAACCCGAAAGAGCAATGGGCGACAGCTCGCATGCCTGGAGAGATGGCTCTCTGTGCCACTTCCGGCACACGTGCTATAGATTCGCCATCACGGCTATATTCCATTAAGTACAATAAACTGCACTAACTTAAAATATAAATGTTAATTATATTTAAAATTGCTCACCATAGTCCAAAGCATTGAAGAATTTGCCATCTTATAGAATAATCACTAACATAGCTTCTTGTAGGTATGAACTAGGTCCAGAAATTCAATGCAACAAAATTGAAAATTTTCATCTGAATATCTACAGTGTAGTAATATTTTTCAACTGCACATGACTAGACTGTACAAAGTAGGTTAATTGACTATTAAGACAGTTTAAATTAAATAAAGGGAGACCTTGCTAATGGTGACTCATGTCTTAGTCATCTCCCACTGCAATATGCTCTACATAGGGCTGCTCTTGAAAAGCATTTTAAAGCTATGTCTGATCCAGAATGCAACAGTTTGGGCAATTTTATTATGTCTCTTGATGCGTTCATATAACACTGCTCCTCTGTCAGCTGTGTTGGCTCTCAGTACGCTTTTAAATCTAATTCAAGATGTCCGTTACTATCTATAAATGCCTACATGGCATAGGACCAGATTGGTTTGCAGAAACAGGTGTTTCCACCTTTTTCCCATTGTTTTTGTTGCCATACCAGGTCTAGCAGGACATGCTTCAGGTCCTCTACATCAAACAATATTGGACCTGGGATTG